GGGTGTGCAGGAGGCAGGGGATCAATGACTCATCATTAATGTTTCTATCTCTCTCCCTCTCCCTTCCTCTTTCTGAAATCAATAAAAATATATTTTAAAAAAAGAATGCCCAGCTAAAAGATGAGTCTGCTCCAGGGCCCCCAGGCCTGAAGATCAAACCTGGGGGTGAGGCCTTTGATGACACATGGCTTGTGGCCAAGGAGCAACCCAGGGCACTGAGGCCCGGATCTGGGGTGGAGCAGCTGCCCCTCCTCACCCCCAGCTCAACGGAGCCTTATTTTTGTCTGTCAGCGGCCGTGGTGGCAGCAGCTGCGGTGCACTTCCCCAGGTTGCTGATGCAGGCCAGCTGCAGGCTCGGCGTCTCTCTCCCTCATCTATGGGCTCCTTACGCCCCTCCCTGGCCTGCTCCTTGCAGACCCTATCCCCTGGGATCACTCGGTTCTCCATCTGCGCCAGGGCGAGAGGATCAAGCCCACAGTTCTCTTGGGCTCCGTGAAGCAGCACGCGCGCGCCAGCCCTCCGCCGGGCGCCGCGGACCGCGCAGCGCTTCCAGGTGCAGGCCTCGGTGCTCACCTGCAGGGCCTCGCGCGCCCCTGCCTCTGCTGTCGTTTCTCACTAGCTGCTTCGGCCTGCGAGAGGGGGCGCTGAGATTTGCTCCAGCCTTTGGCCCAGAGGGGGACCGCCCCTCTCAGCCAGGCCGGCCTCTCCCGGGACTGGGGGGAGGCGAGATGGGGGGAGAATGTACAGACAAGGGACTTCCCTGGGACGGTGGTCTCAGGGCGTAACTGGGCACCGTCCGCGTGTTCCGCTGGAGGCGGCTACGCAGAGCTCCGTGCCAACCAGTGTGAAGGGCCGGAAAGAGCTCACAAATCCGAGGCCCTAGAAATAACGAAACTAAAACTTCATTATCTAAATCGGTTCACTCTGCAGTAATGTTTTCTGAAAGAGTAAATCCCAGAGGGTGCGAGATGGATGGATGCTCTGACCCAAGCTCCTCTGCTTGGAGTTTCTTCCCTAAACTCCCACTTACATCTCATGCTGGCTAAAGGATTGGGTGGGGGGTGGGGGGATGACAAACACATCTGGGAGACTGTCCTCCTCTGCACTGCCCCAGGGGGGTTATTCTGCCAAGCCCCCAATACCCCGTTCAAATAATTAAGAGGAATGCCAAAGACTAAAATTGGTTCATTGAGCAGATTTCTGCATCAAGAAGAGGGGTCAATCTGGGGTGGGCCCAGGTAGAGGAACTGGCCGGATGAGAGGGTGAGTAGGGCAGGGTGGGTGAGGGGTGTGTCAGGGAATGAGAGAAAAGATGGAGAGATGAGGAAATGGAAATCTGAAAGTGGGCGATGAGGGGAGGTGTGAGAAAGCGGACATTAAGAGGGAATTGAGGCACCTTACCAAGGGAGTGAAAATCAGAATGTGGAGATCTCTATGAGGGGAGGGAGCCAAGGACCCCAAGTGTCTGAAAAGAACAATGAGGGGAATCTGAGGGAGACTTAAGGGATTGCTTGAAAATGCTGGGAGAGGAAAACTATCGGAGAGGTTGGGGGTGGGCAGTGGTGAATGATTATGTCTGTAGATTGCTCTGGGAAGGACCCAAGGCAGGGAGGGTTGGACCATGGTGGGGGGAGAAAGAGGCACACATCAGGGAGCACTGGAGCCTGTCAGGTTCCCAAACTAGGGTGAGGGAAGCCTATGAGACAACTGAGTGCCCCCCAAGCCCAGAACGCAGGTTTAATCTCTTAATCTTCCTCATTAATCACTCACGCTCCTTCTACCCCCTCCGAGGATCTGGTTTCTCCCCAGCTCAGGTTCCAGAGGCTTTGCTGGGAAAAGTTCCCTCCTGTGGCCCCACAATCATCTGGACAAGTCACTGGCCTCTGGGAAGACCTTAGTTGGGCTCTGCTGTCAGCAGCCTCCTCCCATTACTTGTCTTCCCTCTCCTCCCCCAAACTCACATCTGGGGATCACCTAACCCCATTGTCCAACCCAATTATCTGAGCCAGGCTGCAGGGCAGAGAAGGTAGGCAGGAGAGATGGAAAGGAAGGAAGGCAAGAGCCCTTCAGGAGAGCCCCACACTCCCCACACAATTACACACTAGTAACTGAGTGAAAGAGATTACAAACACTACATAGATGATGCATGAATGAAAGTTGTAGTGTCTGGTGACAGGCCTGGTACAGGAGCTAGCCAGTTCCTGCACCCTCCTAGGCCCTCTTTTTTTTTTTTTTTTTTTTTTAATATATCTTTATTGATTTCAGAGAGAGGAAAGGAGAGGGGGAGAGAAAGAAACATCAATGATGAGAGTTGTCATTGATCAGCTGCCTCCTGCATGCCCCAGACTGGGAACAGAGAGCCCAAAACCCAGGCATGTGCCCTGACCAGGAATCAAACCGTGATCTCATGAATCCTAGGTCAACACTCAATCGCTGAGCCATGCCAGCCGGGCCCTCTTTAATGTCAGATTAAGTGAAACCACCAGGATGGTTCAGAGGTCTAAGGCCTCCAGCTAGGAGGATATCTAACTGCCCTCCTCTGCCTCCCCCCCCCCCC